TCATAAATAAATAAATAAATAAATAAATAAATAAATAAATAAATAAATAAATAAAACATTGTCATTAACGTGGACAAAAGACAAATACAACATAGAAGTGATTATAGAAGAAATTTGCAAGTTTCTGAGCTCTATGATTTAGGTGTCCTGGGGTTTCCTTCTATCCACTCAGGGAAACATTACTGGGAAGTAGACGTGTCTAGATGTGATGCCTGGCTCCTGGGAATACATGATGGAAGATGTGCAGAACCCAAGCTTCCGTCAATGAATCAACAGAGCGTCAAAGCCAAATATAATTCTGATGTTAACCAACATGTAAATTATCAGCCCAAATGTGGCTACTGGGTTATAGGGATGACGAACAGGTCTGTGTATAATGCCTTTGAAGAGTGTTCTGTCACCCACAATGCCAGTGTCTTGCTCCTCTCTCCGACTCATCCTCCCACTCGTGTTGGAATTTTCCTGGACCGTGAAGCTTGCACTCTCTCATCTTATGATGTTTCCAACCACGGAGCTCTCATCTATAGATTCTGTGACTGTTCTTTCCCTGCTGCGGTTTATCCATATTTTAATCCTATGGAGTCATCAGGGCCAATGACAGTCTGTGGGCCACCCTCTTAACCACTCACTCGTATCTGCACAGTTTCCCCATGTCTGATGTATCTCATATGTCTAAGCTCTGTGGGATTATTTTAACTTTTTTTTCTGTCTTTGCTTGCAGGGAACCATCAAACTGCCTTGGCCTAGCTGCCTTGAGAGGCATGAGTCATAGGTTTTTCATGTTAGAGTTCGGGGTCCTGGTGTACAGTGGGCCTTCCAGTACCCAATAGATGAGTGCACTCACTCAGGCATGAAACATTCAGGCTATATTGCATTCGCTGTTTGTTCCCCCTAATAGTCAAGGAAGCATGGAAATTTGACAGGACAATAGGTATTAGACATTAATCTTGGGTACCCTGTATAACCTGCCATCTTCATTGTTTTCTGACAAGCAAATTGCATTGATCCTGACAATTGCCACAATGATCTGTTTCTGATAAAGGTATAAAAGTCTTATTGCTCTCAATTAAATTGTCACAGCCTTTATCTTCCTGTGGTCCCTCAACCTGAGACTGTTTCCTTTCCCTGAGGCAATATCAGGTGACCTTGCCCTAGTAAGTGAGCACTGGCACTCCCTTTGGTCTTTCTATTTTAATAATCTTCCCTTCTCAATGCAACCAGTATGGATTCTTTTCCTTAATCCAATTGCTTGTCTGTTTACAAGGCAATAATAATTCATCATTTCCCAAATTCTCAAAGAACTGTCTCTTCCTCACGAGATGATGTAAGACCTCTGTTAACTCACACTTCCTGTTTTGTGGTGCCACAGATGGAAGCCAGGGCCTTGTGCATGCTGAGGAGGTGCTCTGCCACTGAGCCACTTGTCTCAGCTCTGCCAAGTCTCCACAACCACATTCCTCTGTCATTGACAGAAGATGACAGAAAGTACTGATATGGGACGTACTTCTGTATATGTCTTGCTTTTATT